TTTGCACACAATGGGACTTGATGCATAGATCAAAAGGAATGGGAATGCTCTTTGTGACCGTTATGAAAATATTTCAAAGATATCTTGTTTTGTTTTGTTTTGTTTTGTTTTGTTTCGTTTTGTTAATCCTTACCTGAGGACATTTTTCCCATTGATCTTTTAGAAAGAGTGGAAGAGAGAAGGAAAGACAGAAACATTGATGGGAGAGAAACACATTGATTGATGGCCTCTTATACACGCCCTGACCAGAGCTTGGGCCTGGGAGGAGCCTGCAACCAAGGTACATGCCCTTGACTGGAATCAAACCTGGGATTCTTTAGTTTGCAGGCCCATGTTCTATCCACTGAGCCAAAGAGCTAGGGCTCAGAGATATCTTAAGTGACAAAAGCAGGGCACAGTGTGTTCGGTGAACTGCATTTGTGCATTAAAGAATAAAGTAAGCTGTTTTCAAGAATAAACTCAGGCTGAAACCAGTTTGGCTTAGTGGATAGAGCGTCAGTCTGCAGACTAAAAGGTCCCAGGTTCAATTCTGGTCAAAGGCATGTACCTTGGTTGCAGGCACATACCCAGTAGGGGGTGTGCAAGAAGCAGCTAATTAATTTTTCTCTCTCATCGTTGTTTCTAGCTCTCTATCCCTCTCCCTTCCTTTCTGTAAAAAAATCAAATATATATATATATATATATATATATATATATATATATATATATATATATTAAAGAATAAACTCAGTATAGTTCTTCTGGTTTTTTTTATTATGCCATTTTCTTGTAGATTGCTCTTTCTCTATTTCCTGCTTATTGATAAATTCTTCCAGGAAAATTTCAAATATTTCTCTCTCAATGAATAAACCTTTACTGATTGTCTGTATTAAGTACTCTTTCAGTTGAACAAAACTGTAACACTACTAGAATAGTTTTAAGGCTTTGGGTAAAAGATCATTCCTAAGCAGGACAACTCCCAATCCTATATAATAAAAGGCTAATATTCAAATCAACCAAATAACGGAATGACTGGTTGCTATGGTGCATACTGACCACCAGGGGGCAGACGCTCAATGCAGGAGCACTGCTCAGCCAGAAACTGGACTCACAGCTGGCGTATGCAGTGGTGGTGGCGGGAGCCTCTCCTGCCTCTGTGGCAGTGCTAACAATGTCCAACTGCCTAAGCCATCAGTAGGACATCCCCCAAGGGCTCCTGGACTGCGAGAGGGCACAGGCCAGACTGAGGGATCCTCCTGAGTGCACGAATTTCGTGCATCTGGCCTCTAGTAATTTATAAATGAAGAATATTGGTTTAACCTTAAAATATACTTATTTAATATTTTATATGGTCAAAGACATCATAAATGGATACAAACTTAACTGACAAAGCACCATATACTGGTAACAAAGGCTATATAAATAGATTCTACAGCAGTTTCTCAGAAAAGTTAAACATAGAGTTATTATATGATCCATCAATTCTACTCCTGGGAATATAACCAAAAGAGATGGAAACATATGTTCACCATAAACTTGTACATAGAGTTTCTAGAGAGAGAGAGAGACAGAGAAGCTCCTGCAAACCAACAAACATAAAACCAACAGCCCAATAAAAAAAAAGAACATACTTTAAGTAAAAAAATGTAGTTAGTTAAAATATAAATAAAAGCAAATAAAAATGCTTGCCCTGGCCAGTGTGGTTAAATGGTTAGGGCGTCGGTTCAAGCATTGAAGGATGTGGGGTTTGATACTCATGTCAAGGGTATGTACCTGGGTTGCAAGTTTGATCCCTGCACCATAGGGGCAAGTGAGGGAGGCAACCAATTAATGTGTATTCTGGGCACTGGGAATCCTCAGATGAGCTGGTGGGTATATATGAGTGTGGATATGATTCCGGTCTTCTAGAGCAGAGTATCCAGCAGTGAAGATAAACAAATTTTAATATATATTAAATATATATAATTAAATTTTAATATATATATTAAATATATATATGTGCCTAAGCAACTGGCCAACCTTCTGGGAGCTATGATGCACACTGACCACCAGGGGGAAGACAGTCAATGTAAGAACTGACAAGTTGCGATGACTTGGCAGCTGCGGTTCTCAGGTGATGTATCCAAAACCAGAGAGGAGGGAGCCTGATTCCAGGGTGCATCGCCCGAGAACTGCCCTCCTGCAATCTGGTACCCCTTGGGGGATGTTGGAGAGCCGGTTTTGGCCCATCACCTGCAGGCCAGGCCGATGGATCCCACTGGTGCATAAATCCATGCAATGGGCCTCTAGTAATCTACACTAATAAAAGAGAAACATGCAAATTAACTGTACCTCTGCTATGCCCAGAAGCCACACCCACTAGCCAATCAGGAGCAAGTATGCAAATTAACCCAACTAAGATGGTTGCAGCCACAGAGCAAGCAGGAGACTTGGGTTTCCCTGGCAATGGAGGAAGCCAAGCTTTCCGCCCACTCTGGCCGGCCCTGGCCTCTGCTCAAGACTACAAAGTTTCAATTATAGAAGATAAATAAATCCCAGATACTAGGGTCTCCACTTGGGTCGCTGGGGGGCATGCTGGCCTGCAAACCACCACAGGTTTCTTGCCCAGGCCGCCCCATGCCCTAAGGGAACCCCCACCCTGATCCAGGACACCCTTCAAGGCATACCAGCCGGCCCCCACCCATGCACCAGGCCTCTATCCTATCTAATAAAAGAGTAATATGCAAATTGACTGTCACTCAACACACAAGATGGCTGCCTCCATGTGAACACAAGATGGCTGCCACAAGATGGCCAGCAGTGAAGGGCAGTTGGGAGTGACCAGGCCTGCAAGGTCGGGAAGTTGTGGGTGATCAGGCCAGCAGGCAATGGCAATTGGAAGGGACCAGGCTGGCAGAAGAGGGAAGTTGGAGGTGACCGGGCCTGTAGGGAAGGGCAGTTGCAGGGACCCACGCCTGAAGGGGAGGGCACTGTGGGGTGATCAGGCCTGCAGGGGAGGGCAGTTAGGAGCAATCAGTCTGGCTGGGGAGCAGTTAGGCATCAATCAGGCTGGCAGGGGAGTAGTTAGGGGGTGATCAGGCTGGCAGGCAGAAGCAGTGGGGCAATCAGGAAGGCAGGCAGGCGAGCAATTGGGAGGCAGCAGTCCTGGATTGTGAGAGGGATGTCTGACTGCCCATTTAGGCCTCATCCCAATAGGATCTGGCCTAAACAGATAGTCAGACAAGCCTGTCACAGGTCCCAAGTGCTGTGAACCAGACTGTTACCTTTATTCCTCACTGACAGGCTGGCCTGTATACAGGATGGGGCCGTAGTCTTTGGCTGCCCACATGTCTCCTATGCCAGGGTTTCAGCAAAGAGCTCAGAGCAAAAAGTTTATCGCCAATAAGTCATGGTTGCTAATACCTTAGGCAACAGACTGTTTTGTAAATCTTAGCATAGCCAGTTGATTTTTTAAAAAAACTAACATGCATTCTAGTATTAAATCTGTATTGACTACTCTAGCCAAAACCGGTTTAGCTCAGTGGTAGAGTGTCGGTCTGTGGACTGAAAGGTCCCAGGTTCGATTCCGGTCAAGGGCATGTACATTGGTTCCAGGCACATCCCTGGTAGGGGGTGTGCAGGAGGCGGCTGGTCGATGTTTCTCTCTCATCGATGTTTCTGGCTCTCTATTGTTCTCCCTTCCTCTCTGTAAAAAATCAATAAAATATATTTTTAAAAATCTATATTGACTGCTCTAATTTCTACCCACTCCTCTTTCTTAAGCCTCTCATCCCTCAGACTTTTATGATGATATCACGTTTGACTTTTTGTTGCTTCCTTACTATCACCACCCCTTTCCTAGGACAGAGGCTATATTCAATATGTTTGTGAGAAATGGCTGCAGATGGGCTGCTTTTAAAAACATTTTTATTAAAATAAACATTTTTATGAGTCCTAAACATAGACAAAAGGCAATCAAAATTCCCAAATGCTTCATATATTTTAAAAGACTTGATTGTCACAGGAAATAATGTTGCCTGTGTGTTTCCCAAGGAACTGAAAAGTACATTATGGTTACTGTAATCCTGCTGGATAGAGACAGTATCTTCTTTTTATTCTTTGTTGTGCCTGATACTATCTGTTCAGCACATTTTTAAGAAGAGAAATCTGTATGTAGGCTAATGCATCTGTGTGCCTCTCACTTCCTATGAATACCACAAAGCCAGGACATTTTCATCACCGGGCCTTGCAGAGTAAGGTCCAAACCCTGAACAATAGGTTTAGTTTTTGCATTTTTTAAAATGTCTTCTTTAATACTGGTCAGTACTGTATGTCCTCCTAACTCCACAAGGCCAAAGAAAAGATCGGTTCTGTCTTGCTGGGCGGGGTACCCTGAACACCATGCCCGCTATGGTATCATCATCGCTCCCGAGAACCTGGCTTCATCACAGGATCCAAGGCAGAGGCCTGGCTTGTGCAGCTTGGACAAGATAAATAGCCCCCTTCTGCATGCACGAACGGGGTGGGGTGGGGGTGGGATCAGTGTGTATGTGGGGGTGTAGGTTGGAGCGTTTTCACAACTGCAACCAGGGGCCTTAGGTTTCCCCAACCCTTGGACTGTCGGCCTGGCCCTGACCATTGTCCACACACACCTCGTCCCTGCAGCTTCCGGGCCGCGAGCGAGATGATTTGCTGCAGATGACATCAGCCCCGGGGCCAACTGGCTGCTCGGGAGGAGGCAGCCAACGCTCGCTCGAGGATGTGCCGGGTGGTCCTTTCCTCCTCCTCTTCCTCCTCCGCTCCTAGCCTGGTCTCCATAGAGAAGCGGCGCCGCCCCTCGCGCTCTCCCTCCCCGCTCCTCTCCGCCTCCCGCGCCAGGAGAGGGCGGACGGGGAGGCGGCGCCCGGTGCCAGGAGGAGGGAGGACGCAGGGGGCGGAGCGGAGGCAGCACCTTCCGAGATAATCCTTTCTCCTGCGGCAGAGGAGAGAGGAGCAGCCGGAGCGAGCGGGGCACCTCGCCGAGGCTTCGCGGGGCCGGCAGGATGGCGACCGTGGTGGTGGAAGCCGCGGAGCCCGAGCTGTCCGGCGGCATCGCCAACCCGGCGGCGGCGGCGGCGGCGGCGGCGGCGTCCACTTCGCCCAGCCTGTCGCACCGCTTCCTCGACAGCAAGTTCTACCTGCTGGTGGTGGTCGGCGAGATAGTGACCGAGGAGCACCTGCGGCGCGCCATCGGCAACATTGAGCTGGGTAAGCGGCCCCGGGGGATGAGCTCGGGGAGACGCACGCACGCGGCGACCCCACCCAGGGCGCAGCGGCCACCGCTTCTCCAGGCGCGCCCCGCACCCACCGATCCCCGCCGCTACCCGCACACGGTCCGGGCTGTTTTTTTTTTTTGTGAGCTAACATCAGAGAATAATGCCAATTTTATTTGAGACCCAGTGGCAGTCTCCTAACCTTGAGGGACCCCGTCACCAGGCTGGGGCTGCAGATCCGAGCTAGCCACCGCCTCTCCCGCTCAATGAAATGCAGGTGTCAGAGGAGCAGAGGCCACAATCCTGCCGCTGTCGCAGGAAGCAAGGGGGGAGGGGGGGCCTTGTGCAGGCACTCCTTTTATCCTCTCTCTCACCCCACAAAATAATGGACACCCTCATCCCCGCCACACCCGGGGTGGAAGCACCATGTGCCAGGGCCCCGCGTGGGGAATCATCCTCAGCACAGCTACTCGACCCCCGAGAAACGCCCTTTTCTGGCTTGCCACCTTCCGATCTTTTCTTTCCTGGGAATGACGAGGCTAGTCCGATTGCCACGCCCGTGCCCCCCCCCCTCCCGCCCCCGCCTCCCCCGGGACGCAGATGGAGAGCCTCTCGCACTTCATTCCCTGACGGCGCCCGCCTAGTTACCGCCCCTGGGACCTTGGTTACGGCGTGGAGAAAGGACAATGGGACCCCAAGTTGTGGGGTGGGGCTTCTTATTTGAAAAGTCTCAACCTCCAGAGTGATGGCTGGGGGGCAAGGAGGAGGGGGGAAGGGGGGATGGCGGGCAGGGCCAGCGCCTCTCCCCGTGCCCGCACAGGGAGCGCGCTCTGCAGAGGCCGAATAGCGGTCCGCCAGGGCCCCCCGGCGCGGCCGCGAGGGTCCCCCGGGCGTAGCCTCGGGCACGAGGGCCGATCCACCCCCGCAGCCCCACCAGGGAGGGCTGCCGCAGTGCCTCCACCTGCCTCCGCACTGCGGCGCCCCCTTCGGGCTCAGCCCGCCTGGGCTTCGGGCTCGGGGGTGCTGCGTGCCCCCACCTCTCCCTGAGCCCAGCTTTGTTGTGCTCCAAGGCCCCGGTGGGCAGCCCCGATCTCTGCCTTTCTCTTCATCCCCGGGTCCCCCTCTCCTTCTGGCGCCTGACTGAGGTCGCCGGGTCCCTCCCCCGCAGCCCCAGCCCCGTGCTCTTTTCTCTCGGGGTTCCGCTGGAGGTTTTCTGCCAGGAGACACCGGCGGGTGGGCGTGGTGCAGTCCGCAGTGCGGTCTCTACGGCAGCCCGAGGCGGACAAAGGGCGTTCTCGCAGCCCCAGCTCCCCGCCAGCCCCCCCACCCCAAAAGCCGAAAGAAAAACCTTATTTCAGATGAGAAAATAAACGTTTGTCAGTCATTTGCCTCCGCATTTGGCTGTCCTCAGAACAAAAGGCTGCAGGGTGGGGACTGGAGTTGTAGACCTGGTTCTTTTGTTTAACTTTAAGGCACAGATTTTCCCTTTCAGCTAAAAAAGAAAAAAAGAAAAAAAAAAAAAAAGAAAGAAAAGAAAAGAAAAGAAAAGAAAAAGAAGAAAAAGAAAAAGAAAGAAAAAGTAAAAGAAAAATGAGCAGAATTAAGAATATTTTATTCGGGGGAAAAAATCAAAAATAAAAGATTTCAATAGTGATATGCCTTATTAGAACATCTCAATAACCCTTATTTTCAAACTATAAGCTTTTAATCTGACCTGTTCTAATTTAGTGTGTTTGCACATTATCTCCTTAGAAAATTTCACAGGCACTGACTTTGGGTGTGGCTCTTTATGAATCAATGACTTCGGCTTTTAAAAAAATGTTTTGTTTTGTGCATGGATGTGTCAGCACCATTGCCAGGGGATAATAATACCTTAAGAGGTGCTTTTCTGTCTATAAAATCTTCATAACCATCCGATGTGGTGCCAGGAGAGGGGCCATCAGCCCCATTTTAGAGATGAGGGCCCAGAGAGGCAGGAAGGATGAGGGGACGGGCTCAAGGTCACACCACTGGTGACTGGAGTGCTGCCCCTGCAGCAGCACTGGCTTTCTGGCCTGGTCATTACGTTAGTGCAGGGCAGGCTAATCTCAGAGGGAGCTCAAACAGCCGTTTTCAGAGCCTGCCTTTGGATAGCCATCCACTTGTGGGCTGCACCCGTGCAGGGAGGTGGTTTAGAAATCCTCTCCCACCATAATTATCTCCCTGCTTTGTTACTCCGCGGATCCTCCTTCCAGTACCTCATTCCTCTGCCGGTTCATTCAAGCTGCTTTCGTTTGAGGATAAAACAGACACATTGAAGGACACATGTCCTCTTTTTTACACTACTAGCACTTAGTGATAAAGTTCAGGTTTGTCTTCCTGACGTTTTCTTTTAATTTTTAAACGTTTTTAATGAAGTGGTATACATAGAGAGGAAAAGGCATGTATCATAGATGAGGAACTCGGTGGATTTTCATAAAAATGTTACAGGAAAGAACCTGACATGACCGGAATCCCAGAAGACCCCTCACGTTCCCTTTCCAGTCACCATGCCTTCCCTCATTTGGTTGGGCTTTACATGAACCTCCAAAATGGCTGTATTGATCCCATTAAGAATCAACCAAGTGAGTAGCAGAGCCATTTCCTTACACACAGTAACAGATGCTGCTTCCCTCTGGAGACTGCTCTCCTGAGCCCTGGGGTCTCCGATGCAGCTCAAGCTTTGGGGCCTTCCAGCGCTAAGTGGTCTCACAGCTTTTCAGGCAGCGTGAGATGACTTAGCAACAGGGCAGGCCAGCTCTGTTTGCCCGGGCTTCATACGCTGCTGTTTCCGCCTTCGGGCTCCAGCTGGGCCTCCTGCAGAGGTCACTCTGCTACCACTGCTGTGGCTGCCTGTGCCTGTGAGCCACGCCGGGTGAGGCAAGATGGAGATGCTCCAGAGGCTGCAGCTCTGATTGTGTGCTGAGGGCTGGCAAAGCAGTGCAGCATCTGCCACGCTTGCTTCCTGTTGGCCCTCCCACCTTAACTGTGTGCCGTGGGTTTGGAGACCCTTGTGACTTGAATTGTTGCCATTCAATTATTTATTTTAATTAATTAATTAATAATAATATTTTTTTTTTTTGCCATTTGATTATTGAGAAAATCAATAGAAAATCAATCTGTAGGGAGATGGTGGTAATGCAGCAAATCAACAGGCCTGAAACATCTCAGTGTGGATGCTTAGTAAATGCCTCTTGAAACCAAGGAAGAGAGATGGTCACTCAACTATATTCAAGAAGGAAAATGTAAGGTTTAGGTCATTTCTTTTCAAGTTTGAAACATAGTCTTTCCTCGGACTGGTCTAGATTTATTTCATTTGCCACGGGGACTTTATGTCCAACCATTGTTGTTACCACCACCTACAGCCTCTTGGGACCTTTTTCGCCCCCTCTCTCATTGGTCCCCAACATGTACTTCACAGCCATCCCATTCTTAGCAGGGACCCCCTTCTCCCGTGTATTTTAGGACACGGCCTACCTGCATCCATGCCTTGTAAACGGAAGCCTTGTGAGAGGAGTTGCCACTGCTTCATTTTTATTGTTTCAAAGGAATACTGTCAGTTTAATGCTTTTACTATTAAAGGGGATAACTTTGCACTGGGAATCGGCAAGATTTGTTCATAAAAAGATACATCTACTGTGTAACATCTACTGCCCTGGATTCTCATTTATTAATTTTTAAAATTTACTTTGTTAACCCTCAGGATATTTTTCCATTGATTTTTTTTAGAGAGAGTGGAAGGGGAGAGACAGACAGAGAGAGAAAGACATTCATGTGAGAGAGACACATCAATTGGTTGCCTCCCATATGGGCCCGACCAAAGCCATGGATCAAACCTACAACCAAGGTACATGCCCTCGATGGGAATCGAACCCAGGACTCTTCAGTCTGTGGGCCAACACTCCATCCACTGAACCAAACCGGCAAGAGCAGTCCTGAATTTTTAGATGTAACTTTAGCTGAATCCATTGGAACTTTCTGATGTTAACCTTATTGAATATTTTCAGTCTAAGATGGCTAATAGAATTAAGAACCCAGGAAAATTTGGGTTTGGTTTTAATTTTATTTTAACAGGGAAAAAAAATCAATACATGGTGGGAATTAAGAGAAATGTTAGGGAATGTTAAATTTATTATATTCATCTTTATATTTTTCAAAGTCAAAAGGCAGATGGATTTCTGCTTGCACTCCTTAGTTGGTATTATCTAAGGGTTCTATATCCATGCTGAAATGTAAGCCATTTCCCAAACATAAGGTCATTAAATTGATGATTCATTGTTAATCTTCTCCAAAAGCTTACTTTTTAAATAAGTTACAACTTTTAGGCCAATAAAATAAATTATTATAAATCACTTCTTTTGTTTGTGATATTTACTAATACCACCTATCATCAATATTTTGAAATGATGAGCTCTGCATGTAAGATATTGTTAGCATAATACATAAAATATATATTATGAATGTCACATTGTTGGCTTAAATAAAAAGAAGAAAGTAAATCAAAGGTTAGGTCAAGGAAAAAAATAGGACAACTTTTGTCTGAGAAATAAAACCTTGAATTTAGCATTTCCTTTGTTTTAATTTTGTTTCTTTAGTGTATGATACCAACCTGACTTGATCACTTTTTAGCATAGTTTTACAAACAGAATCTTAGGGGTATAGGATAATCACTTATACTTGTGGAAAATACTGAAAAGCCAGTTTCTCAGAGGGAGTAACTAAAGCTCATGGAAGAAAATCAACTTGTCAAAGGCCCAAATAACTGTCAGATAGAATGCAACAGGCCATTTCAACATGGAATGCATGGTCATGAGCTTCTGCTTTCTTCAATCTACTGCCTGAATATAGCTTTTAGCCTTTAAATGGAAGGTGTTTTTTTGTTTTGTTTTGTTTTGTTTTTAATTGTTGGTTTCATGAAAGAATCCTGCAGAATGCTTGCATGACTGATAAACTTGTCCAGATCTAACCAGTATGAAGTTAGGGCTCTTCATTGTTCATTTTGACTCCTATGATGACAGTGACCCCTCCTCCCCCCACTGCCCGTAGACACACACACACACACACACACACACACACACACACACACATATACAGCCTTTGCTTCTTTTTCCGCCTAAAACTTCACATGCACTCTCGCCTGCCCTTTGTGCACTGCTACCACCAGAGGCCGAAGCGGTGAGAAGGAAAGCTTCTTTGTTACCCCCTGATCTCTGTGGCTGGAGAACTGGTGACAGAGTGATGGCACTCCTTCAGATTAGGTGGAAGAGTTCTCCGGATGCCTGGCCATAGTTTAAAAAGTGGAGGTTTGTCTCCTCCAAGGGGTGGGATTGTTTTGCCCCCACCTGGGTAAGCCTCTAGGGAGCACAGTCTCCATGGAGTGTTGGAGAAGCAAAGCCTCAGGAAAAGCTTGACCTGAGGAGTTGAGTTGTTTACTTGGGGGGAGGAGTCATCAGAAAAGGGCCAGGAATTTATCCTGGCTTCTCTACAACCCATCGGAGAACAGGATGACCTGCTTTTGAAAGCCAGCACTCTATTATTCTCTCTGAATCCAGGGGAGAATGTGGGAAGGGCCAAAGAAGATACTACATATATTTTTTTTGTCCTATAAGCTTTAGAGGGCCCACTAGTGGCTTCCTCTTAGACACAAAGGGGAGACATATAATCTACTAAATGCAGCATGAACCTTCATTGAGAAATACGATTTCTCTTTATTGACATTATCTATTAAAAGGTACAAAATAATTACAAAGTATTTTATTTCTAAAATTGGTTTAGAAAGTGGTATAACTCCAAAAATTTCCTAACTAAAATAACCTATAAATCCATTATAACATTTATTTTATAAGTGGTAGTAGTGATTATGCATCGCTAAGAAATAATTTGGCTAGAAATTGCTCCCTTGACAAGAGAAAGAGAATCTTAATTTTTTAGTTTCATTTGAAGCACTGAAATGAGAAATATTTTTTAGCCGCTGTTTACTAGTATAATTTAAAAATTGTTAAATGGATTTTCTATTATTCCATACTTTTTCCATTGCTAAATTATAGATCATATAACCAAGAACTTTATGAAATATCACACAAAGATTTCATCATGTGTGTCATGACAAGTTAACTGAGGCCAACGGAAAAATGGCAAACAACAATGTAAGAGCAAGTATACATCTAACCCTAGATGAAGTCATTCAAATGGTGCAGCACTTTGGACATTACTCGGAACAAAGGCAGAAAAATCGTATGAGTTTAATTTCATTACATAGAGCTCATTATTAACTTATTGACCCAACTTGACAAGCCAGAAGACAAAGTTGAGCTCCCACCCAAGCACAACAATTACTAATTAAGCAGCTCAGACAGGACTCCTCAATTTTTCACACTAGACGAGTAAATAGTGTATGTTTAGACTGAAGTAAAATATTCTAATGAATTCAGACCCCTCAACCTGTCAAGCTTTCTGCGAAACAAAAAGAACCCATTTATCATTTCTGCACTAAAAAGATCCACGATATCTCAACATGCTTTTCTTGTTAAAATTTAAATACTCCATTAGCACAAATGCAAACTGAGACTGATAATGTTTCCAGGGAGACTCATAAAATTCTCCCTTATAACTTAGCCTCTCTTTACGAATGTTAACTCTTTCCCATCTGAAATATTGCCATGGTTTACTGTGGAGAAATATCTACCTCCCTATAGTGGACATCTAATGGAAATATTTTTCATAGTTGAAAAAGTGTTTGGTGTATAATCTGAATACATATACATGTTATTTTGGGTGCCCTTGACTGGGAATCGAACCCGAGACCCTTTGGTGAGCAAGCCCATGTTCTAGCCATTTAACAACACCGGCTAAGGCTGAAGATATTTTTGATGTATAGTCAAATGAGTTTCCAGAATATTTTGTAATGTGTGTGTATTCTTATATTTTTATATATTTTTGTATTTCCCCAAAAACTAGATAGCTCATAGTAGAGCTAGTATATAATATCCACAATTGTACCTTTTGCCCGGGTGTCCTTCCTTCCTTTCTCTCTTCCTCCCTTCCTTCCTGCCTTCCTGCCTTCCTGCCTTCCCACCTATCTAATCTACCTTGATTGTTTGCAAGATAGGAAGAATGAACAAGAGGTAAATGGGAATAAATGGAAATATGCATTTAGGATTTAGAGGTGTCCTTAAATAACACACTCCTCTATGTACTTCCAAGTCTGTGCACCTGACTAATGACCAGCAAAAATGATAATTCACTGGCTGTGTTATACCTACTTTCAAGCCCTGCCCTTAGTAGGTATGCAGTAAATGATTGTTGTTCCAGAGATTTGTTCCTGGCAGTATGCCCATGCAAAGGTACAATTATGGACACTGTATACTGGCTCTGCCGTGAGCCATCTAGTTATTTGGGGAAATATAAGAATATATAAAACACATACCCACTCCAGAGTTTTGTGGTTCCTCAATTGCCCCTGGCTTGCTCCTCAGATTTCCATTCTCCGATGTCCTCTGGGCTCCTCTCTGCATCTCCTTTGGGAGGGCAGGAGAGAGGAGGGCAGAGGGGCAGGAAGGAGGAGACTAGGGAGGGAGGGTAACAGCAGTCCTTGCCCAGGTGTCCTCTCACCCCAGCTTCCAGCCTAGTGAATGGAAGCCTGAGCTTCTGTGGGAATAGACAATGCATGGCCCCCAACTCTGTAGAAAGTTTATGAAATATAAAAAGTGGCCACATTTCTTTGCCTCTGGGTAAGAAAATGCAACACAACTAACAATTGTGAATGAAAGAGCTGCTTGCCAAGCTGATCAGGTAAAATAAATGCCTGGGAGGACAGACAGGCCAAGTCTTGGAGATTGAGATCTAACCTTTTTACCAAAGATCACACAAACTTTGGATTGATATCCTGGGGTTAACAAACTAAGGTCAAAAGAGGGATGGATAAAAAAAGAAAAAGAAAAGAAAAGAAACTGTACATGCGCACAAATGTAGAGGCACACTGCAGGAACATTTAAAAAGCAAAGGCCTGGATCGAATGGCAGTCCCTGGGCTGCTGGCTTTCCTAGCCCCATCCTACTTTTTCTTGCTACTTACAAGTAGACCATGGGGAAGCCAGATTGTCTGGCGGCCTCGTAATTGCTTCAGAACTCAACATCTTTCTGTCCTTTCTATTCCCTCACTGGAGGAAAGCCTGTCATTTTCCTAATAACTGTTTTTCTTTTACTCTTGCAGAAAAGCTGCATTTACGCTTTACGAGGTTCAGAAGTTCAGTCCACAGTGCTAGTTATTCCTCCCTTGCGGCCTGGCGGAGAGACCTCCCTGGCCCTCCCATCTTGTGGGCATCCCATCACCAAGCTCTTCAGAAAAGGGGTTTCCACATCCTCCCAGAAAGCCTGAGACTTGTCACAGTGACGCTTTCCTAACCATTCTGAAATGACTAACTGGAAGTCTGTCAACTGTCTTCCTTTTCCTCCTTAGGAATCCGATCATGGGACACAAATCTGATTGAATGCAACTTAGACCAGGAGCTGAAACTTTTTGTATCTCGACACTCTGCAAGATTCTCTCCTGAAGTCCCAGGTGAGACTTGGGTGTAGTATTAGTCAACTTAGAATCTGAAAGGATGGGGAAATAGGCCAATGAAAACTCTGCCTGGGTTATCAAAAAAGACTTTCTCTTATTGTTGAAAGATTCTTTGTATTTGTTATTATCTATTAGAGGCCTGTTGCATGAATTCGTGCACAAGTGGGATTTGGTTGGCCTGCCCCAATGAGGGCCCATTGGGCCAGACCAGTGGGGGAGAAGGGCCATGGGCAGTTGGCTGGCTGGCCCTGTCCCTGATAGGGATGTTGGGGCCAATTGGGGGCAGGGCCAGCTGGGGTGGGGGGCCTTGGGTGGTTGGCAGCTGGAACCACCCCCAGTCGGGATGTTGGGGGCCAATCGGGGCCTGGATCACTGGTTGGCTGCCTCAGTGCACGTCAGAGCCACCGGTTGTTCTGGTCATTCTGCCGTTCTGGTCACTGGGCTTTTATATATTTAGTCAGAAGCCATATTTTAAGAAAGCCAACTTAAGTTGTCACTGTGTGGGTTATATATTTTGTGTATTCTTAGAGATTTTTAAAGTTCTGGGGTATTTTATTATTATCATTATTATTTTTTGCTATCTCACTGTACTCTGTCCTTAATTGTTACTCAAATGAAGCTATGAATATAAATTCAATGCCTCCAGAATCTCACAACTTGACATCCTCCCAAGAAAAAGGAAACATCTGCATTTCAAAATAAAATATACATCATAATTTCATCCTTGCAATATCATACACTTTTCTTAATAGAGGTAAAAGAGTCTGAGGTTGCAATTGCTGTTAAAATAGCCTTTCTTTCAGAGATGAAAAAGAATACTACAGGACATTAAAGGTAAGGACACAAAAACTTGTCATATGTGAAGATGCTCCCAATAACCAGTCACTGAAAAGGGACCAGGACTGAGGCAGGTCTGCCCTGGCAACAGTCTGGAATGTGTGGGTTCTTGACTTCATGCGGGAAATATTTCACAATACTAGTCCAGTGATTTTGAGGAATGTTTATTAAAGATTGGGACAGTGAAACAAAGGAAAGGCTTAAGAGAGAAGAGGCAAGATCAAGCAACAGGAATGAGCCTAGGAGGAGCTGCATTGGTCCTTTAGAAAGAGGCAGCAGTGAGTCAGCTGGGCAGTGTGGACTCAGGAAACAAATTATAGAGGCAAAAGAACGGCCTTTGCAGACAGGTTCCGGGGATTGCTCAGGATGAGCTGCCGCTGCCTGCTGCTCTCCTGGTTGTAAGTATCCTGGGAACTTGTAGAGCTTAGATTTAAAGCAAAGGTACACACCTGAGGAAAGCACGGGGGAAGGCATGTGCATGCTGAAGGGTGAGCACACACTGGGTCCTTTGCCTTAAGGGTTTTTATGTGTTTTCTAAAGATGGGAATTTCAGGGGAGGTTCTCAATAGAATATTGGTCAGCTTTCCAGATGTGTCCTTCGGCATGTCGATGCATCAAAATAAGCATATAGAGGGGCCAGGGTCATTCTCTGGTCAGTTTCACCTTCAAAGAATGTCACTGCAAAGCCTGTCCCTGCTTGGTCTCGAATGTGTAAATTATTTGATCCTAAGTGTCTTTGGTTGGGAAAGATGAGATTTTGGGATTTTATTAGCTCGCTGTAAATTGCTCAGCCATCTGTTTAGCTATCTGTCTCAGTTTCCTCATACCACTTGCCAAAGGATTTTCCTAGTTTCTTATTCTCTTGCCTCACTCTGACTTCTAGGCCTGAGAATGTAGTTAGACTCACTCATTTTATCTTTCTCTTGAGAACAGTGACCCATATTTCTGTCAGTTGGTTACATTTAGGATTATGAGCAGAATTGCTGGCCCATAAAGACTCCAAACCTGGGATGTTTTTCTCAAAGCTCTGCCATTGATCACTCATAGGTACTATATTACATTTTATTTCTTGAATATCACTTAAATTTTATGTAAAATAGAGTAGAGCATAATCTTTTCTGTCTACATGATTTTGTTGTATGCTTGCTAATTTTATTGGCATTAATATAAAATCAAGAATGTGTACAGCCTCTTTTTGACTGACCACATCCTATCCAATTAGTCCTGTCCATACTGAGATTTGAAACCACTTACAGAATGTCAGTGCCTTTATGAATCACATTTGACTGCAGCAGTATTCCCATGAGACAGATTCAGTTCTTGTCTTTGAGTTTGATCTTAGAATAAAATTCTAAATATTCTGATTAACAAATGAATTGTGGACCTCAAGCATGGAATCGAGTAAATGTGCTAAGAAATACATAGCAAGAACTGGCTTATTAAAAGTTAAATCTGCTGCAAAGCCACATGCAAAATCAGCTCTTTGTATTGAGAAAAGAGAGAATGATCCTGGAAATATCAGATGGCACGTGATTTGCTGAAGTAGAGGTACAGTATGTGTTTCTCTCATTGTTACTGTGTTGTATTTTTGAGTCTTGCGCATCTTCATAACTTTTAAAATCATCTCACGAAAAGGAAAATAAGGGAAGTACCCTTTTCCAACAAGTATGTTTCAAAATGTAAATTCAAGCGTTTTTCCTTTCTATGTAGGTTGTTCTGGCTTTCTTACCATCACTGTTTGTAATACCACTTCTTTTGTTTTGTCTGGGAGGAAGGGGTAAACAAAGTCTGTGATTCCCATTGTGTTCATTCATACTTGGGTTGACTTTATAGAATGACAGCTGTGTATTGAAAAATGCAAGACTGCAAGAATTGCTAAAGAGTTAACTGGTTTTAGACCAAAGACTAGCATTATTCTAGTGGACTAGGAAAGTCAAGTCTCCCCCAAACTACCACTTTAGCCTAATGTACCATCTCCTTCCTTTTCCTGTCACTTACAGTAAGAGCTGGTTACCTAGCTTCTTGTATCAGTGCTATGCTAGGTGCCGTGTCTAGAGATGACTTATAAAAGACTGGTGATTGCCTCAAATGCACCTAACACCTCATGTAGGAAAATTTATTTTAATATTCTTTTTTCTATCATGGTGTCTTTTGCCTATTAAAATAATTAACACTTTTTGAGAATCCAAATCCTCACCAGCAACACAGCATAATGTATTAGTTTTTAAATGTGGTTTTGAGTTTCATTTTGCCTATTTCTTCAGGATTGCAAGGTTTAGTCATCTTGAATAAACATGCTTAAAGCAGGAACCTGGACTATGGATGCTTTCTCTGCATAAGCGGGGGTCGTATAGTATGAATGGTGAGATTGTAGGTACCCCTCCCCCTGTTCTCCGGGATGTGAGACTGGGATCTAACCAGCTCTGGCATACTTTGATTTTTGGGATGGTCAGTCATCGAAGGCCATCTTACTTTCCAAAACCTGTTGCAACATTGCCTTCCCTAAAAATCCTTCAATAAACATCTGCCGTGTGCCCAACGTACATCAGGGCAAAGCAGGTCTCCGCTGAGTTGCCCCGATGTAAAACCATTCCAGGCCACATGTAAGGTGGGCTCAAGCAAGACTAGTCAGTGGGAGAGGAAATGCTAGGCCATCCTTCACCACACTCCTCAGGCGTCCACTCCAGTGAATGTTGAACACTTGAATCTTTTCAAAACAGAGGGACAGTCCTCTGTTTGCTTATATTTATGAATTCAAATACTGTCCTAAAAGTTTCATTTACATATGTAGCATGTTTTTTGTGTGTCTTAATTATGTTGGATGAAAATCATTTTTATAAGTCTTACTATAAGAGGAGAGCTAGGTACCATGCTTCATTCTCCATTCCTATTTGATTTTTTCCCTGATGTAACTTTTATTGTCATCTACATACAACAATAGAGAAGGATGTCTCCTAGGGATTATAAGAAGCACTCCATGATTATTGGCTTTAGGCAAACATCATTTCAAAACAACAAACAAACACAAAACCATTCCAGGACAAGGGATACCAGAAGGAAAATTAATTTTAATATTCTTTTTTCCGTCACTGTGTCTTCTGCCTACTAAAATAATTTTTAAAATTTTGAGAATCCAAGTCTTCACCAGCAACATAGCCTAATGATTAAGAGTACAGATTCTGGATCCTAGCTCTGACAATCATTTGCTATAGATTCTCAGACAAGTCACTTGATCGTTTTATGCCTCAGGGATTTATAATACCTCAGAATTTTCATGAGGATCAAATGAATTAATGCATGTAAAGATCTTGAAACAATGCTTGTCACATAGTACAACAATAAATGTGGCTAGTGTTAAAATTGTCTCCCTTATTGAATATCTATTTGACTTGCATATTTGGTGATTATTATTATCAATGGGAAATAGTGGATTTAGATATTGGCTTTCTTCCTTTTTGTAATGATATTAAAGTTTGTATTAAAGATGTTTCTCGGAGAGACAATGATCTTCAGCAGGATCAGAAGGAACATTGCTGCTGATTATGTGTAGGGGGCAGCAACATTCCATGACTGAGTTTAGAAAGGTCCTTTGAATGTGAGAGCAAAAAGGAGGCATAATGCTAAGGTGTTGGCATAGAAAACCATAGGGCAGGGTCGAATATCACTTCAAAATGATCCTGTTGGTGCCCATCGGAGGATGCTGATGTGGATGAGGGTGCTAGTCTGTTTTCTCACTGTGATAATCTATGCATGTGTAGGGGAGGAAAATACATTCATCTACCTTCATAGGTTCTGTTAGCTGGTCTGTTAGCTAAATTGACATAAGGCAGATTAACAGGAGAAAAACAAATTTAACCTCACAAAATCCCAAGGAAGGGCAAAATGGGCAGATGAGGGTTTTATGCTCTCTTCCCCTCCCCCCCCCCTTCTCTAAACTAAGTAATGCAATAAAGGCCTGGGGCTTCAAAGAGGAGGAGGGTAATTTATGGGACAATAAGAGCAGATGTTTGGTAATTAGATGTTTGCCCTGCCATACAGGTAGGTCATTCAAGTAAATGTTATCTTTGTTAATAGCTCTCTCTATGAGCCAGGCTCCCTAATTAAATTCTCCTACGCAGTTCAGGGAAAAGTAAAAGTTTTTCTTGAAGCCTTGGGATCTT